TCTTAGCTGACATTTGTATTCTATAGGACAATATCTGGGCTACTTGCCTTTTTGTTCCTTTTTTTTTCTAAATTCTGAATAAAAGTACCTTTAAAAATGTCTCCTTTGGATATTTCTTCAAAATAAATATGGTTTAAGGTTGCTTTCTGGAACTCTACTTACTTCCTTTCTTCTATTCAGTATAAGATCACTCTGGGGATAGGAAATATGGTTTAGTAGGAAACTTCTGTTGAAAAAGAGAACAACTAACATCATCTTTGAAAAATCAAAGGGTGCAATAATCTACATCTCCAAAAGCAAGTCCTTTAATGGAAAGCTTCCCGCTGTTGTCTTCTGGGAAATAGAGTCCTTAAGCAAGTAACCTGAATTCTACTGCATTATTTTCCCATATGATAAAATTTTGCTTATTTTCTAGGCCATTCTTGGAAAAGTCTTTCCAAATTTTACCCACACTTTAAGGCTAAGTTCACATATTATCTCTTCTTTGAAATTTCCCTGATTATTCCTCCCAGGCAAAGTGCATCTTGTGCCTAAATTCATCCACTAGACTGAAATGTCCTTAAAGCTAGGATTCTATTCTATGTTATTCAATCCTGTCCACTCTCCATAGTATCTAGCATGTGCTTTTGCACAAAGATAAGGAAATCTAGAAGGAAAAGGTTATTTGGCTACCACACTGAAGGGGATGTTTCTGGATGATTATAATTATGTGAGGGGAATATGTAAATATGCCTAGAAAGGCTACTACCAAAATGGGTATTTAAGTGTATTCCATGTCATGATAGGTGTTCAAGCAGAAAGTGGATGATAACTCTTGAGAGATGCTGTAGAGGAATTCTTACAGCAGATGGGGAGGTAGATCAGATGACCTTCAAAGCCCTTCCAACTCTAGATTTCAAAATGATTTTTAAAAGGCTTTGCCTTAAATGAATTCTCCTGTTTAACTATTGCTTCCATGGCACTGTCACTACAGCAGGCAACTCTTGAAGCTTTTCCGAACAGCCTGATTAAAACACCCCAGTTTACAGTTCCTAAGGAAAGCACCCCAGGAGCCTTCTAACTTTGATGTCATCCCATCCTCCCTTCACTTGGTCATCACAGAGCCCCAGGGTTCAGCAAGTCCACAGAGTAGTTGGAAGCTAGACTCCTTAATTCTCAACCCCAGATTCAGGAATTCAAGTTGCTGTGCCATTTTTGTCCTCACTTGCTCTGTGTGCTTGATCTCTGCAAGCGTAGGTCAGATCCAGAAGAGAGTGTGAGAATGGTTATCCCGATATTTACCATTGTTGCTCTTTCTTCTCTATCTCGTCAGTTGGGAATATTGAACAGACTTTTGGTTATCATCATTCTTGCCTAATAAGAAGTGCCAGATTAACGGCACAGAGGAAAGGTGTCAGAAAAGGTGAAAACATGCTCCTTGAATATGCCACACTTCCTGATGATTAATGCTCCTTAAGGTAGCATCACTGTCTGAAGCACACGCACAAAACACTGGGGAAAGGGACTATGCTCAACATTATGGAGGAAGGGGGATTTCAGGCATCAGTAGGGTTTGGAGACTAAGTTAGCAAGAGTACTTCTTTGCTGTCTGTCCATCTGTCTACCTATCTATCTGTCTGTCTTTGTTCTAATCACAGCATATATATCATAATACCTATGTTTTGCAAATGCAAATTTATATAAAGCAAGCAGTCAAAGGAATGCAGGTTAATCAGGACCCAAATAGCAATGTTATAATACTGCAACCTGTTTCTTTATCCTAATTTTTTTACTACTTTGAAAGAAAAAACTGATAAAGCAAAAAATACCATAACAGAATCTGTCACAGGTTTCTTTTTACCAATCTACTTCACAATATAAATCTTTTTGTGAGATTAATACAACTTTCCCCAGCTAGAGATTATTCTTGCCAATATAAGGATAAACACCTATATATTAAATTTGGAAGCACATTATCACAAATTACTTAAAGTCATTTCAGCTAATTGAAAAATAAGTTCTCCATTTAAAAATGATCTCTGGTGTTTTCAAGAGCTTCTTTGCCCTCATTGGGAAAATGGGATCTCTCTTGGTATCTGTGGAAGTAGTAACAGTGCAAAGCAATCAAACCACCTCCTATGGTAAACAACCCAACAAATGAGAGAAAGATCATTATTGCTTCTAAAAAGACTTCTCCCATGATATCATCATCAAGTGCAAAAAGATGTTTTGTTGACATATTGCTTATATATAAATATATGAAAAAACATATCCTAAAAGTGTTCTAGTGAATATAGCAAAAAGGCTCAAACCCTTCTAAGGACTAAAGATGTATGTATGTATGTATGTATGTATGTATGTATGTATGTATGTATATAAGTGTTCATTCATTCATTCATTCCTTTATTTACTTTTTATTTTTTTTATTTTCTATGTATTTCCAAACCCTCCCTGATCCTTGTAAATACCAGCTTTAGCCTTCTATAGCCTAGCACATGCTATTTATTAAATAGTTGCTAGGGTGAATTAAATCAAATATCTACCAAATCTGGTTAATAAACACTATAAATTCACTCTTATGCTGACCAAAAAAGAAAGAAGTCAGGCATCTCACCTCAGTTGCTATAAATCTGGTGAGTTTACTCTGGGACAAGTGACCAGAATCAGATGAGTTATAGGACCCTCAATAATTCATTGTGAGGCTAGAAAGGAAGACTCTCATCCCTTCATTTTCCTGCTGAAAATCACTGATCGGAGCATGGAAAAATCCCAAACTCAGCACCTCTGCTTTCTTTAACCAGTCCTGCTGGCATCCTGGCAGACCAATTTGGAAACCATGATTAATCCTCTGGTAAACAGAAAATAGGCTGTGGAGCCAAGAGAAGCCAAACCTGAGTCACTCTCTGAAGACTCTATACCCTTAGCCAATTTAACTCTACCTCCTCCTCCAGGAGCTGGCTAACTCACCTGGTGATTTTCAGCAAACAGAAAGGCCTTTCCTTGGTGACAGAGGAGCCCAGTGAAGCAGAGACTGAAGCGTCGCTGTGACTGACCACAAGCTGGTGTAACCCACATATACGCAGGGGTAACCAAGTCCTGTATAGCTCAGATGAAATTGGCTGGAACCCCAAGCTCCATGAAATGGAAGACTCAATATCCTTCCCAGTTTCTCCAGGGACTGGGGGGAAGGAGAACAACGTACCTAGATTTCTCTTTGGCACCAATGGCTCCGACTTATTTTGGTCTGCCATCCACTTTGGCTTTGCCTGAGAGCTACACTCCTGCTGCCTCATGCTAGACAGGACCCTGATTCCTTCACACACACACCTCACTCTATGTGCTTTACCAAGTATCACTGACTCAAGGCTCTGGGTATAACTAACTTTTGTGGAAGATTCAAGGCAATAGCAAAGATTTAAATGGAAGCATCAAAAATAATTTAAAAGTAAAAATTAAATAGCCCTGTTCTTTTTTTTTTTTTTTTTTTAAGCCCTGTTCTTGAGAGTCCTTCAACCGCCCTGGCCTCGAAGGTTTCTTACCTGCTGTCCTTTCTCCTCAGGCTCTGCCCTCCTCTGCTCTTCCCTTCCCTTCTCTACTTCCTCCCTTGCCCTCTTTCTCCTGCTAACGCCATCTCCTAAATTGTCACTTTATTATGTAAGTCTGATTTCCCTGTCTATTTGCAGACTGTGTCTTCACCTTGCATCCTGAAAACATCTCCCTAAGAGGAACTTTATGACCCGGTATTCAAATACATTTATACATACCTACAGACATGGATGAGCCTGCGCGCGCGCGCACACACACACACACACACACACACACACACACACACCTGTGATCCTCAGAAAACACAGAAGCAGAACTGTAAGTTCTGAGGAACTATGTCCATAGGACTAGAATAGGAGAATTGAACAGAAAGAGAGGTTTTTAAGTTGTGTTTTAATGTTTAGATATGAGGACGGCTTTTTCCTTACTTTTCTAGGGTGCAGTGCTCACTGGAAATATTAAAGATTTCAGCCACTGTGTTAAGTCTGAGGCCAGGTGGGCACCACGAAGCCTACTCCCATTATTCAGCATACACACCTTGTGCTTCTGACAGCTCAGGTTATCACTTTCCCCAGGTCCCCGTGCTGTTTCAGCCTCTACACTTTTGTTCATTCACTCTCACCCCCACCACACACACACACACACACACACACACATCCTGTTGCCTCTCGGAATGCTTTTCCACATTTCACCTCTCTGAATCAGATCCATTCTTTAAGGTTTTCTGTATAAAGTCTCCCAGATTGTGGCCTTTGATTTTATTCTTTCTCCGACTATCCATTCCACTTACGTAGGTATTCCTCCCTAATAACATGCATTCTCTGAGAGCAAGGACTGTATCCAGCACTTTCTACAAAGGACCCCATATTAACTAGCACAGTTCTAGACATGCAATAGATGCTCAGCAAATGCCTATCGGATGGAATTAAACAGACTACAAGAACCACGGTGTAATCAGCCATAGCATAATTAACCACAAATACTAATACACCTTGTTGAGGGCAGCTAAGGAAACCCAGATCCCTAGAAATAGCATTGTACAGATTTTGGTAGTTTCTAATCTCAAATCCAATAGCAACCTTTTTTTGTGACCTTGTGCCAGTCATTTAACTTTTGTGAGCATCATTGTTTCCTACTTGTAAAATAAGAAAAATAAAACTCCTGCTCTGCACAGCTCACCTAGTAGTTGCAAGGATTAAACAAGAATACAGTAGTCCCCCGCTTATCTGCAGGGGACACATTCCAAGACCCCTAGTGGATGCCTGAAACCATGGATAATACCAAATCTTATATATGATATGTTTTCCTATACATAGACACACTTATGATAAAGTTTAATTTATAAATTAGGCACAGTGAGAGATTAACAATAACTAATAATAAAACAGAACAATTATAACAATAAATGTAATAAAAGTTATGTAAAGTGCTCTCTCTCTCTCAAAATATCTTATTGTACTGTACTCACCCTTCTTGTGATGATGTGAGATGATAAAATGCCTACGGGATGAGATGAAGCAAAAAGACTGAATGACGCAGGCGTTGTGATGTAAAGTTAGGCTACTATTGACCTTCCAATGATTTGTCAGGAGGAGGATCATCGGCTTCCTGACCGCGATTGATGGTGGGTAACGAAACTGTGGAAGCGAAACAGTGGATAAGGGGGGGATTTCTGCACATATATATACATATATATATGTATATATATATGAAAGTGATCTGAGAAGCATTGTGCACAAGAAAAATGTTATTACAAGTATTACAATGTTCCAGGTATTTTAAAGAGAGCTTGAATATTTTATCAAGTAGCATAATTATAGATAGAAAATCTTCTCATATTTATTCTGAAGCATTTTCCATAAATAAATGTCACTATTATTTTCCAAGAACATTGTCTTATCCATGAAGGAAGATTTATTACAGCTCTGTAACTCATGCAAATCGTACATATAAGCAAAATGTCTCCTGTTTGTTTTTTTTCCTTCAACCCAACAGAATTTGTTTGGTTTCCTGCAGGATTAGCTATCACAGGGAAATCAAGGTATATAAAGGCCATCTTTGATGCTAACATTATGAAAATTATTACACTTTAACAATCAATAGCAAACTGTGTTAGGAAAATGGTTTAGATGTGGCAAATTTTACTAAACACAAAAGAATCAACTATTTTTAGAATTTTAAAGTAATAGCAAGTACATTTTCTTATTATAAGAATCCAGCGAATTTCTAAGTACTTTATCCTAACGTTTTTTTCTCATTTTGGTGCGTATGAGTTCCTGTGGCTGCTCTTTAACAAATTACCACAACTTGGTAGCCCAAAACAACAGAAATTTGTTGCCTCGCTGTTCTAGACACCAGAAGTTTGAAATCTATGCCATCAAGCTGAAATCAAAGTGTCTGCAAGGCCACCCAGCACTCTACCCACAGGCTCTGAGGGAAAATCCATTCCTTGCCTCTGACAGCTTCTGTGTAGTTGTGGGCATTACTTTGCTCCTGGCTGCTTCACTCCAGTCTCTGCCTCCTGGGCCCAGGACCTCCTCCTCTTCTGTATAATCTACCTGTCTCTTATGAGGACACTTGTGAGGGCATTTAGCACCACCCCTCTCCGCCCCCCCCCGGATAATCCAGGGTAATCTCTTGTCTCAAGATCTTTAATCACACACATAAGGTAACATTTACAGGTCCTAGGGATTAGAACGTGGATCTTTTGGGGTATCATTTTCAGCCTAGTACACAGAAGGTCTCAAACTTCAACATTTATCAGAATCATCTGGAAGGCTTATTAAAACACATATTGCTGAAACCTGCTCCCCAGAGTTTCTGTTCAGTAAGCGGGGAATGGGGCCTAAGATTTTGAATTACTAGCAAATTCCCAGGTGATACTGCTGAGGCTGGTCCCAAGCTCACGCTCTGAGAACCACTAGCTTATGTTATCCCGTGCTTTGAAAATTATCTTCTGGTTTAATCTTCCCACCTCAAGCTGTAGGTCATCCAATTTTGTAGGCCTTTTGTACGTATTCTAACATCAGACATGTTGACAATAACAGTACAGTTGACACCTGTTTCTCCTTTAGTTACTGCCATGCTCTCTTCTCACTATTAGAGCTCTGCAGTGAGATATATCCAGAGACCAGATTTTTTCTTCCATGGACTCATTCGGTGCTCCCATTGGTTTCAGGGAGAGAAAGCATAGGATTTATTAGTACACATTCCTTAGCTCGGCAGTCAAGGGCCACCATAATATGACTTTAAATCAATCCTCCAGCTTGCAGCTGGATTCCCTGCAGGTCCCCCAAACACCCTCTGCACACCTCTCCCAAGTAGGAGACTTCCACATGCAGCTTCAGCGAGATGAAGTATCTGCTCATCACCTGTCCAAAGTTCCATCTATGCTTATCAGAACTCTGATGTTCCATGAAGTCCAAACCAACTACCTTGCTCAAGTCAATATGGTCTCTCCCTCTACACAGAACTTTCTATAACACTTCATGTGCTTTTGGCGATAACAGTATTCTCCTTTGAATCATGATTACCTATGCATTTTTAATCCCTCCATGTATTATAAACTTCTTAAGGATAAAGATTATTTCTTGTTCACTTTCATTTATTTTGTGGCACCTAGCACAGGGATAAATGTTTGTAAAATTAGCAACAGAATTTTATTTGCTGTTTAGCACTTCATATCTCTTTGCACTTAAAAGGTGCACAGGTGTAGCAGCTGTCTTTTGCTTTGGGGACCCCATACTACACTTCTTTGGGGGAACTGCGCCAACCTCACCCCAACTCTGTGGTTCTGATGATGATTGCTAATCGCAGTACCCTCTCATATAACCCATACTTCTCCCTACCTTTCCCACAGAAATGAGCATCTTTCTCAGGATTTTTTAACTAAGGTCTAGAGGAATGAGGCTTTTCCTCTCAGATAGAGAAGCTGGGGCTATGTCAACCTTGTGAGGAAAGCAGGCTTGAGAGAATGAGGTTAGCATACAAAGGTATATAAGGATGAGTAGAAGGGAGACGTGAGTCCTTATGGCATCAAATCCCTGGGCTCTGTGGTTTCATTATATGAGCTAATATGGTTGCCATTTTGTCTACTCTGGTGCAAGTTAGATTCTGTCACTTGCAGTCAAGAGTCCTGACTACTGTGAAAGGTAGAAGGACTCATGATCCTTTCATAATTCTTGTGAGAAAAGCAACACCTCCACTGTCCTGATGAGAGTTTCTAACTCCCTATGTATATTACCCCATGCACTGACCTTGAAGATACCAGGCATAATGGAAAATTATATATAAGTAATTGTTATGAACCCAAGGCAGTAGAAAAATAAAAACAGAAAAGTCCAACTCTTTCCCTTCATGAGAAATTTTCACAGGAATCCTGGTGAGGGAGGCCAATATTATCAGTTTTATGTTTGAAACTTAAAAAAAATAAAAGCCAGAGAGGTCAAATAGCCTGGTTCTCTCTTTTAAGACGCTTAGATCTAATAGAAGGGGAAGACATGTAAACAAATTAAAAACAAAGTATATGAGTACTGTGGTAGAAGTATGAACAAGGTACACCATGGGGCACAAAGAAGTGCCTATTTCAACCTGGAGGCATTAGAGAGAAGGACCGAGTTTATGGAGGTAGCAACACATGAATCCAATTCCTCGGGGCAAAGACTGCCTTACAACATCAAACTTGTTCTTGCTAGACTTCCACTCATTCACATGAAAAGCATTTATCACTCAGTCAACAAGCATTTATAAATATCTATACATGTGAGGTGCAAGTTAAATAAGACAAGGATCCTTTTCTCAAGAAGCTCATGGTTTATAGGCAGAAAATCTCAACTTTTAAAGTACAACATGATTAGAAGATAAAATGATATGGTGCCTAGGATTTTCTCCCCACAAAATGGATGGGGGACAGGAAGGTGGTGGAGGAACTGATGAAATAAGGCTCACCGTGGGATGATAATTGTTGCAATGAGGCGTGGCGGCTTCGCAATGTGTCAGCCTGGCTAGACTGAACTTCACTTCCCAGAACTCTCTTCCCTCTATGTTTCTGGTTAGGGTGGTCCACCAGAGCCATTCTTATGTGGAATTTGGGGAATAGAAGTCAAGCTGCAGCTATTTTTATAGCCATACATATTGTTTATCTGCTCACTCACCAACTTGGCATGAGACCGTGGACAGGCCTACATCTGTTCCAACTACTCTTTGAACTTTCTTCAGCTTCTCCAACTCCAGGGCAAGGTGTGGGTATCTAGCTCTTTGATGAAGGGACCTGAGTTCAGCAGGACACCCACACCACCAAGGTCAGAGGCAAGACGAGTTTCAGTCCATCCTCCAAGTTCCCAGCTCCAGCTTGTTCTTGCTCTCCTCCACTTTGCACCCATCTTCCCTTCCTGATTGCCCGTCCCGGGCACTTCAAATTCCAGTAGCAGATGCAAGGACAACAGCCTTACAGATGCTATGGTCCCATAGTTACAAGACTGTACAAACACACACACATATATATGTATACAGGTATCCCCCACTTTTGAAAGTTCACGTTGTGCCACTTTGCTTTGATGAAAGACCTACAACAGTACCTGTTTTGGTTAACGGAAAGAAATCCTAAGAAGATTTTCGCTTTTGGCAAAAAAAAAAAAAAAAAGGCAAAAAGCAAAAATAACGTTCAGGGTTTGTCTTGCAGTGAGCCGTTACAGAGGCAGTACGCACCCCAGGCAGCCAGAGTGGCGTCCCCAAGCTCCTTCTCTGGGGAACTACACTCAGCATCTCATCAAGCCGCCATAGCTTTGAACTGTGTCTGTGAGCACCTGTGATTTATCTTGATTTATTTTGTGCATCCTTTGGCAAGATGTGGCCAAAGGTATCAGAAAAGCCTAAGAGAGGTTATTTTTTTTTGGTCTGGGAACACTCCAAAAATTTTCCATATAAATGAAAGGTAATGGCTTTGTCACTTTACACCATTTTGCCTTGCGAATCGTTTCATAGGAATACTCTACTTTTGGATAGCTATGGAAACCTATATTTAGACACACACTCACACACCACACACACACACACACACACACACACACATCCGGGTGGTTCTGCTTTACTTATTGAGCTCTGATATACTGGGCGATTGGTACATTGAGTTCATGATCTTATTCTCAACTTTTTGGATATGTTTGAAATTTTCCCCATTAGTATTTTAAGTTCTCTGTGGGAGAATTTGGTGATAGTGTACAAGATGCTATAAAAGCACCTGAGCACAGCCATCTCAGGCCTGGAGGAAGGAAGAGAAGGGTCCTTTTCACTGGCCAGTCTCCCTGTTTGCTTCATCAGCTCCCCATTTATGGTCCTTCCCTCCTAAATGCAGGTGAGCTTAATCCCCCCAGATCCTTCTCTCTAAGCATCCACTCCCAGATTTCAACCAGCCTGCCTGTGGCATAATTCTTAATCCTCCATAAAGATCTCAGTCCTCTTACTGGATTTCCAATCTTTCATTTCCAACTCCATGCTCCATGTCTCCTTATTCATAGATAACCAAATAACATTACCTTTAAGAAGTAAAAACTAATGCTTCTGACTTCCAATTTCTCTTGGTCATTCATTTCTGGCCCCTAAACACCAAATCCAAAGTTGTCTTAGACGCCAACTCTCTTCCATACTGTCTCTGGCCATATCCTGCCAGTGTACTTCCATGGATCTTCTGCTCTAGGCCATCAAAATAGTTTCTCTTCTCTTCATTATCTCACTCATCTGATCACTCCTTTATTCACTCAGCAATGGTTTTCTAAGTACCTATGATGTAGAAAATCTTGAGACAGATAGAGGGAGGAAATATATCCTTATCAAAAACTTTCAGTGTTTATTTACTTACAGAATAAAACCCATGCTCTTGGATTTTAAGGTCATCTAAAATCTGGCTCTGTCTGTGGGACATGTGATTATTCCTGGGGTGACCAAACTGCCAAAGAGGCTTTGGGGAAGGACTGTTTCCATAACAAGAGACTCCCTGGAGATCAGGCTGGGAGAAGGTTTGTCTTCCTGCGCCATTCTGAGTCTGGCTGAGAGTTAAGAGAACACAGCTTTTAATTTCTTCCTATGTTAAAAACAGAACAAAACAAAACATGTGATTATACAAATGATATGTGTTCTTTTTTTTCTAATTTTCAAAAATTTGAAGAAGCAAAAAGAATTAAACAACGATGACCTATCATACCACCACCCAGAAATAACCATTTTTTGTATTTTGGTGAGCCTTCTTCAAGAATATTTACAGTTTTGGGGTGCCTGGGTGGCTCAGTCATTAAGCGTCCGCCTTCGGCTCAGGTCATGATCCCAGGGTCCTGGGATCGAGCCCCTCATCGCGCTCCCTGCTCCATGGGAAGCCTACTTCTCCCTCTCCCGCTCCCCCTCCTTGTGTTCCCTCTCTCACTGTGTCTCTCTCTGTCAAATAAATAAATAAAATCTTTAAAAATATATATTTACAGTTTTAATTTGTAACACTTTATAAAAATGTATACCTTTAATTTGGATAGCACCGTGCATACTGTTTTCTAATCTGCATATTTCACTTAACAATTTGTTGTAAGCAAATTTCCATGTCAATAAACATATTTCTCATCTATCATTTTTTTTCTCATCTATCATTTGTAAAGGTGGTGTGCTATTCTATTGTATGGACATAACAATTTGTGTACACACTTTCCTTTTTGGGGACATTTAGGTTATTCTGATTTTTTTTTTTTTACAACAAAAAGTTTTGCAATAAATATCCTTATAGATGAATCTTTTTCTGCATCCTCAGTGTTCTCCTTAGGATAAACTCCTAAAAGTAGAATTTCTGGATCACAGGGAATATATATTTTTAAGGGTTTTGATATAAGACCATGTCTTTTTCTGAGGACCATTTGGAACATTTATATAGAATTTCAGGAACATGCCAATGATATGAGGAGTCTGAAAGTAGCAGAACCATACCTAAGATGCCCTTAATCACTTGCTCTCTAAGGATATTAGAACTCTGTCTGGGGTGCCAGTAGGTTAATTAATTCTTTGGTACAATATATATTATCCTAATAGTTTGAAAGACAACAGTTTAATTTATGTGTAGATAACACACTCCGTAGGAATTTTACATCATTTTATAACATTACTTAATTTCCTCCAGGGCTTGTTTCTTTGAGTAGACATTTGGGTTGCTACTGTTATTTTTTTAATAAGTAGACATTTTCTATTTTAGCACAATAAGATAGCAATAAGTTTGTGATGAGATGATATGCCAGAAAACCTCCACTCTACCCTATAGTAAGTTCTATAACAATAGAACTTACCCACCAACTAAGAGCTCTGTTTCTCAGTGCTGTAGGTGTGGCCATGTGACTAGGTTCTGGCCAATGGTATGTAAGCTAAAGGGTTATGTGCCCTCCCCCTGCCCTTCTCCACTTTCCACTTGTTGGAATGCAGATATGGCAGTTGCGAGGGCAGCCATATTAGACCACAGATGGCAACTTTATGTTGAAGATGATAGAGCAATTAAACAGAAAAAGCCTAGTTCCTTGTACCATGAAACTGCCAAATCAGACCTAGTCTACCTAAGCTTGATTATTGTGTGGGAAAGAAACAAAGTTCTATTTTGTTTGAGACCATTATTTGGACCTTTGTTTTAGGAGCTGACCTGGTATCCTAACACATAGGGAAGATTTGGGGAGCTTGACTATTTTCACTGGCCACTACCAAAATAATCCAACTGACAGATCAAATTGTAATAGAGGGTTTTTTAGGTTAAGGGACAAGGAATTTTGTTAATAGTCAAGTAAGTCAAAGCCAAAATATTTTACCAGAGAAATATGTGCAAACTCTTTCACCATCTAATGAGCTTTTTCTTTGAATCAAAAATCCAGTTATGTAAAGGAATTATTTGGCATATTGCCTCTTAGTTTACTTCCACATCGTATAAAAAGTTGCACTCAATAACCTTGGTTTAATTTTATTCTTGATTTAATTAATTCTTGTTTTAATTTCTGTGATTCTACAGATTTCTTCAATGTCCTTGATATTCAGTGATAGTATAAAGATAAATAAGACTTCAAATCATAAAAATTAATGACTTAAATTGCATACAAAAATATGCAAACATTACTGTTTTATAAATTCTAACTGTATTTACATATTACCTCTCTAAAATGACCTAGATACCACTAACTCAATGATAATTTTATAGTACCTAGTAAATATATGAAGTTGATGATTTTTATATACTTTAGAGGTGAGTAACATCAAAAGACAGAAGCAATTAGGTCATAGATGAGTTGATCTGTAGACCCTAGAGACTTACTGTAAGTGAGTCTTACACAACATTTTTCCTCTCTCTCTCTGTGTGTGTATATATATATATATGTACCCATAAATATGTATATGTTTATAGCCATATATATATCTCCAACATTAATTTCTAATAGCACCCAGATTTACTTTTGGGGAAGAGAAGTCTCCTGAGTAGTATTCAGTCCTATAAATCCAGTTGCATACTTCCATGGAAATTGAAAACACCAGATCCTTCCTGGTCCCCCACTCAGCCCAGCCAAAGAGCAGGCATATGAGGAATTAGCCAGCAGGTGCTCTCACCTGGGCTTTTAAAACATTAAGACAGGGGTGCCTGGGTGGCTCAGTCTGTTAAAGCGGCTGCCTTTGGCTCAGGTCATGATCCTGGGGTCTTGGGATCGAGCCCCACATCCGGCTCCCTGCCCAGCAGAGAGCCTGCTTCTCCCTCTCCATCTGCCTGCCACTCTGCCTGCTTGTGCTCTCTCTCTGTCAAATAAATAAATAAAATCTTTAAAAATAAATAAATAAATAAAACATTAAGACAGAAGGAAACAGCAATCACCACAAGAAGTATTCTGAAGTGGCTAAAATTAAGGACATTTCCAAGCCTTATTCCCCAATATCCTATCAATCCTGAGTTCACCATCAACACCACCAAATCCTTTCATTCCAATAAATATTCTTTAGCTTTAGAGTCAGTGTTTGTTAGCAGCAGACAAGGGACTCTCACCACCATTTAATGTCTTATCACCATATGACGTGACCTCTCTTTTCCTAGTGCATAATCTATGCTAAAAACCTAAATAAATGAAGGAGGGACACCTAGGTGGCTCAGTTGGTTAAGCATCTGCCTTCAGTTCAGGTCATGATCCCCAGGTCCTGGGATCAAGCCCCACATTGGGCTCCTTGCTCAGTGGGGAGTCTGCTTCTCCCTCTGCCCCTCCCCTCTGCTCATGCTCTCTCTCTCTCTGGCTCTCTCTCTCTCTCTCCCAAATAAATAAATACAATATTTAGAAAGAAAAAGAGAAAATAATATAAAATCATGCTGAAAGTTTTTTAAGAGTATAAACATATTTTTTTGTTGGCTGCAATTTGAGAAGTCAGTGTATATATTTTAGTTTTCTTCCTTTTTGTTTTAAGATGTAAATATTTTCTGTTTGAAACATTAAACATATACTTCAAAACTTAGGTAATTTTACTATCCTTGAATTATTCCTTTTTTATACACTAATTTACATCTTGTGAATCAATCTGTGTTCTTTAAAAATAATTAGTAAATATCATGATACAACTTCCATCTCATATTTTATATTTTCCACACAAGGAACCATAAACTAAGTTGGGAGCCAACTTAATTGTTAAAACTAGTAAGTCAGCACTCCTAATGGACAGAATTATTTGCCTCTTATTTGCACGGCTTTCCATTTTACACATCAGCCAAACAGAAACCACTGGTTGCTAAGCAACAGCTTTCCTCTCAATGACCAGAAATAGAATACATAGAAGGGCAATCTCTAAAATACTATATATATATATATATATATATATATATGGAGTTAAAGAGAAACTCAGCCCCATAGTTTGGTTGTTCACCCAGAATGATTGTCATGAATATTGAATTCATACTGACAGTGTGTGAATACTGAATATATTTGATCATGAATTCTTCAGTAACTATATCATCTTGTATTTTCTTCCAGTATCTTTCTTAATACCGAGAAACCATGAAGTAATACAGAAACCAGGTTTTGAAGCAAATTTCCTTAGAAAAACTATTTGTAAACTGTACACTTAGGTTTTGTTGAACCGAGTCATTGCTAACATAGCATTAACATTCCTGTCGCAATACTGCTTTTTTTGGTTAAAACTACATATTTAGGGGCGCCTGGGTGGCTCATTCGGTTAAGTGTCCAACTCTTGATTTTGACTCAGGTCATGATCTCAGGGTTGTGAGATTGAGCCCCACATCTGGCTCTGCACTCAGCGGGTAGTCTGCTGGAGATTCTCTCTCTCTCCCTCTCCCTCTGCCCCTCCCCCCACTCATGTTCTCTGTCTCTGTCTCTCTCTAAAATAAATAAATAAATCTTTTTTAAAAAACTACATATTTGGGCGCCTGGGTGGCTCAGTTGGTTAAGCAACTGCCTTCGGCTCAGGTCATGATCCTGGAGTCCCAGGATCGAGTCCCGCATCAGGCTCCCTGCTCGGCGGGGAGTCTGCTTCTCCCTCTGACTCTCCTCTCTTTCATGTTCTCTGTCTCTCATTCTCTCTCTCGCAAATAAATAAAATCTTAAAAAAAAAAAAAAAAAACTACATATTTAAGGGCACCTGAATAGCTCAGTCAGTTAAGCATCTGCCTTCGGCTCAGGTCATGATCTCAGCCCCGCAATTAGGCTCCCTGCTCAGCAGAGAGTCTGCTTCTCTCCCTCTGCCATTCCCCCTGCTTGTGCTCTCTCTCTCTCTCTCCCTCTGTCAAATAAATAAATAAAATCTTTTAAAAAACTACATATTTAATGTTCTGGGAGGATATACTCTAGCCAGCTAATAGTGATTATCAGAGGGAAATAACCATTTGCTTTTTCTTTTATGTATCCTTTATAATGAAAATAATAATTGCTAGTAGTTGCTGGGTGTTTATGAAATGCTGGGCACTGTTTAAGCTCATTCTATGTATTGTTACATTGGTATTCCCCTTTTGGCAGATAAGGAAAGGAGCTCAAAAGAAGTTGTGTAACTTTCTCAAGGCTGTGCATGTAGAAAGCGATAGAGAGCCAGGATTCTAATTCAGGCAGAGAGACTCCAGGTCCTCACCACTTCACTTATTCTTCCTTTTATAAGGTGGTTCATGTAATACCTTTTTTTCTTAATTATATTATCTTAGAACACACAGAATTATATCTGGGTACTCAATTCATTAGCAGCTTTCCTCCTATGGCTTGAATCAGTTTCACATCAGTAGGAGTTAAGAGCATAACAAATCTAATAAGTGTATTGAGGAGCAACATGTGGGTTGATTTTAGTCAACAGAGAACTGAAATTGTGCCAGTTCAACTGAACTTGGGGCTTCATGCAGTGTTTACTCAAAGTAGATCATGCAGTTACAGAACTTTCTAAGGAATCGCTTTAAATAAATACTACTTCTGGGAATTGGTTTTCTTCTCAAATGTATACTTAGTAACTTTTAAAAAGATGGACTTAGTAGACCAAAAAAAAAAGCAAAAATAAAAGACAAATTATTTTCATTTAGAGTACTTGATAACAACTATCTGTTCAAGATGCAGAAAAAGCATTTGACAAAGTACAACATCCATTCATGATAAAAAAACCTTCAACAAATAGGTTTAGAAGGAACATACCTCAACATAATATATGAAAAACCCATAGCTACGTCATACTCGATGGTGAAAAACTGAGAGCTTTTCCTTTAAGGTCAAGAAGAAGATGAGGATGAAGGGACGCCTGGGTGGCTCAGTCAGTTAAGCGTCTGCCTTCGGCTTGGGTCATGATCCCAGGGTCCTGGGATTGAGTCTCATGTCAGGCTCCTTGCTCGGCGGGGAGCCTGCTTCTCCCTCTGCCTGCTGTTCCCCCTGCTTGTGCGCTCTCTCTCTCTCTGACAAGTGAATGGATAAATCTTAAAAAAAAAAAAGAAGATGAGGATGGCCACTCTCAACACTTTTATTCAACATAATACTGGAAGTCCTAGCCACAGCAATCAGACAAGAAAAAGAAATAAAAGGCATCCAGATTGGTAAAGCAGAGGCAAAACTTTCACTATCTGCAGATGACATACTATATATAGAAAACCCTAAAGACTACACCAAAACACTACTAGAACTGATAAAGGAATTCAGTAAGGTCGCAGGTTACAAAATCAATATAAAGAAATCCACTGCATTTCTATAAATTAATAATGGAGTAGCAGAAATAGAAATTAAGAAAATAATCCCATTTACAGTTGCACCAAAAATAATAAAATACCTAGGAATAAACTTAACCAAGGAGGTGAAAGACCTGTAAAGAAATGGAAAGACATCATGCTCATGGATTGGAAGAATATAGTTATATTGTCCATACTACTCAGAGCAATCTACAGATTTAATATGATCCCTATCAAAATACCAACAGTATTCTTCACAGAACTAGAACAAATAATCCTAAAATTTGTATGGAACCACAAAGACCCCGAATACCCAGAGCAATCTTGAGAAAGAAGAACAAAACTAGAGGCATCACCATCCCAGATTTCAAGATATACTATAAAACTGTAGTAATCAAAACAGTATGGTACTGGCACAGTGATAGACATGTAGATCAATAGAACAGAACAGAGCCCAGAAATAAACCATGATTATACGGTCAATTAATCTTCAACAAAGGAGGAATAAGTATATACTGAGAAAAAGATAATCTCTTCAACAAATGATGTTGGGAAAACTGGAGAGCTACATGGAAAAGAATGAAACTGGACCACTTTCTTATACCACACACAAAAATAAACTCAAAATGCATCAAGGACCTACACATGAAACCTGAAACCATAAAAATCCTAGAAGAGAACACAGGCAGTAATTTCTCTGACATCAGCCATAGCAAGATTTTTCTGGATATGTCTCCTGAGGCAAGGAAAACAAAAGCAAAAAATAAACTATTTCCCAATAGTTTACATCAAAATAAAAGGCTTCTGCACAGCAAAGGAAACAACCAACAAAACAAACAAACAAACAATCTACTGAATGGGAGGGGATATTTGCAAATGGCATGTCTGTAAAGGGTTAGTATCCAAAATACATAAAGCACTTATACCAAAAAAATAAATAATCCAATTTAAAAATGGGCAGAAGACATGAACAGACATTTCTCCAAAGAAGACATACAGATGGCCAACAGACACATGAAAAGATGCTCAACATCACTAATCATCAGGGAAATTCAAATCAAAAACCAAGCTGAGGTATCACCTCACACCTGTCAGAATAAGAAGTTAAAATCAAAAATACTAGAAACAAAAAGTGTTGGCGAGGATGTGGAGAAAAAGAAACCCTCCGGCACTGTTGGTGGGAATGCAAACTGGTGCAGCCACTGTGGAAAACAGTATGGAGGTTCCTCAAAAAAATTAAACATAGAATTACCATATGTTCCAGTAATTCCACTACTGGGTAGTTACCCAAAGAATACAAAAACACTAATTTGAAAGGATATATTCACCCCTATGTTTATTACAGTATTATTTACAATAGCTAAATTATGGAAGCAGCCCAAGTGTCCATCGATAGATGAATGGATAAAGAAGATATATATATATATAACGGAATATTTTTCAGTCATAAAAAAGAATGAGATCTTGCCATTTGCAACATAGATAGATCTAGAGGGTATAATGCTAAGTGAAATAAGTCAAAGAAAGACAAATACCATATGATTTGACTCATATGTGGAACTTAAGAAACAAAGCAAATGAACAAATTAAAAAAAGAGACAACCCCCCAAACAGACTCCTAGTTATAGAGAACAAAGAGATGGTTACCAGCAGGGAGGTGGGGTGGGGGATGGATTAAATAATTGAAGAGGATTAAGAGTACACTTATCACTATGAGCACTGAGTAACATATAGAATTGTTGAATCACGATATTTTAGACCTGAAACTAATATAACTCTATTTTATATGCTACATGACACCGAATGCTAGGGACACAGAAATGAAATGTCCAAACTAATGTTTACCTGCAAGGACAGGACACAGATACATAAACCTGAAATCCTAGGTTAATAGGCAAATGCTATAATGGAGGTAGGAAGAGGATGGCGGGAGTCCATGGAGTTGACCACCTAAGAAACTGGGAATCCAGAAGGCTTCCGTCAAAGAGTACATGGGATTCATGAGCAGGAATTTGCCAGAAAGGAAAGCAGTTGGATTTCCAGAGTTAGAGTTAATCAATGTGCAAGGTCTCAGCAAGATAAAAGTTCACAGTGTAATAAAAACAGTGAGGGGGGCACCTGGGTGGCTCAGTCATTGGACTTCTGCCTTCATTCAGATCAGGTCCTGATCCTAGAGTCTTAGGATCAAGCCCTACATCGGGCTCCCTGCTCGACGGGAAGCCTGCTTCTCCCTCTCCCACTCCCCCTGCTTGTGTTCCCTCTCTTGCTGTCTCTCTCTCTGTCAAATAAATAAATAAAATCTTTAAAAAAAAAAAAAACAGTGAGAACCCTGAACTGCAGTTTAGGCTAGGGAGATAGGACGGGCCATGTGGTTATGGATTTTATATATGGTAGAGAATTTGGACTTTATCCTGAGAGCAGCCAGGACCTGATAGAGCTGCTAGAAAATAAGGAAGCATGTGTTAAATATGAATATTATAAACCATGGCAATATAAAAATAAAAACATAATTAAGGAAAATTGGGAGGAAAAGAGTAGAACAGTGGATACCTATGCTAATTTCCTCAACTTTCATAGCTAGGAGTCAACAGATACATCTAAAAATCAGTCAGAAAATAGGGACCATCTATATCGTCCAGTCATTAAAGGCAGCCTCTAGAACTGGATATATTACTAGAGGCAACAAATATCAGGAGGCAAAAGATAGTAATTTAAATAGAAGTTTCTGCGAGAATTCTTCCCATTCTTTACAGTAAGTAGTCAGTACATATTGCCCAGAATTGATATATCAAGAATAGAAATTAGAAGCAGAGTTTAAAATAGTTGCTTCTGCAGAAGGAGACTTGAGCGGAAAATACTTTCCGTTGGTTTTGATACCTGGAATTCCCTGCATTTGACACAAAAGACAAAAGGAGCATAGATGTTCTTTCTTTATCTTTCATCACTTTCTCCAACAGGGTATTTATTAATGCATTACCTTAATGATACAGCTTCTTACCTCCTCTCTTAGGAGAAAGTCTCCAAAGGGATGTTTATTGCTTTTCTAGGTACAGTCAGTCTTCACTCATATAATGAGAAAAACAGTCTTCAGCCCATGCACTAATGAAAAATACAGACTCCTAAAGACTTCAATGAGCTTAAAATAATCAGTACTGATATCGCTTCTCTAGATACAGAAAACATAGGAAACAAGAAATGTAAAGACTTTCATCAGAAGTTAATTGAAAAAAGACTTTAGTCATAGCGCAGGTCCTAAATTAACAATTTTTTTATTTCTTCACTGTTTTCATGCATGTAAGGGAAGGTTCAAACCTTATTAAAACCATCTTAATTACTTAAATGGAAAAATGTCACAAGGGTTTTAACACTCCCTTGGAAATAACATCTTTATGACAAAATTCAAACTAATTTTTTAAAAACCGCATTGAAAATCTCAACAACCACCTGCCAGAAGGTTATGTTAAAAAGAGCCAATATCGGGCGCCTGGGTGGCTCAGATGGTTAAGCGTCTGCCTTCGGCTCAGGTCATGATCCCAGGGTCCTGGGATCGAGTCCCGCATCGGGTTCCCTGCTCCTTGGGAGCCTGCTTCTCTCTCTCTCTCTCTGTCTCTCATGAATAAATAAATAAAATCTTTAAAAAAAAAAAAGAGCCAATATCCCTAAAAAAAAAATGTCCATGTCTCCATCCTTCAGACAAAAAGAATGGCATCCACTATACTATATGCAAAAACAATTTTTTAAATATTTCTCATGGTAGGGTCATCTATACAAACATCAAGACATAACCAATATAACTTTCCTCTTCTCATGCAAAAATTATATATATTTATGAGGTCATACTCTAGAATACTCAGAAGTACAGAGGCTAACTCTGCAAGACCTGGACTAGAAACTCAACCTGACACTACCTGGGTGACCATGGACAAGTCATTAGATCTAAGTCTTGGTTTCCTAACAGTACTTATTCCAAGGGTTGTGATAAGGGATTACCCAGAAGAATGGATGTAAAGTGCTTAGGTGTTAAAAGCACCTTTTAATAATAATAATAATAATAATAATATACCAGGCGGGCAGTTAATTTATAATAAGCAAAAAATCAGAATTTTGTTAGATGATATGAATCCAACAAGGGATACCCAAACAGTATCTTAGGGGAAAAAAATCTAGAACCCACAAGGCAGATTATGATATCAGCCAGCCCTTCAATGGCAACACAATCTTCATTCAGGCCACCTCCTGCTGGAGGTAAATCTCTTCCAAGGAATGGCTTTTTCATTTTCATTGAGAAGCTGTTTCCCAGGAGCCAGAAATGATTTGGTTACCGCCTGTCTATTGGAGTGAGAAAACTGGTTATATGATCAAGGCTAACTCCTACAAAACACTTTATAAATCCAAATGCCGAATGCCAACAGGATATTCTTCTGACAGTTTTATCCAAACATGTTGACGGTTCCAAAGTCAGGCAGTCTTCTCTGGGTGGGGAATGAGGTGGTGGGGCAGAGGAGGTATTGAAAATATGCACGCATACAAAGGAGATAAGTAAACTGCAAAGTCAAAATATTACTATCTGTCCCTGTAGGGAAGAAGTTTGCTGACCCCTGCTATAGCGTCTAAACACTGACCTTTGAGAACTTCTGCCTTAAGGATTTCAAACTCTAGGGGCAATCAGAGCAAAACCTTGGTTTTTGCATAGCAAATGAGGTGACCACATTCTTCTTTCTAGTAATGGTTCTGGGATATTGAATAGAAAAGGACATTTTCCTTCCTCTATCTTTTTGCTTGAATTATTAGAGACGAAATCATTCACTATTAGACAATCGGTTTATTGGATGGGACACCGAACTGTCATTCGATCAGAATCGTGTGTCATTTGTTCTAACACTCGTGTTGAAACTGAGAAGGAACAGGACCTTTCCTGAGGCCAACAGCCCTCTGGCCACAAGCCGTGTTACCACCCAGCAACAACAAACAATATCCCGAAGCCAGAAGAACAACTTGAAAGTTCTGAAAACCAATTTTTTCCATGCTTTTGGCATCAAAGCTCATTTCTGTGGAATAACTCAAATGGAATGGATGTAGACTATTTGTGGTCTTTATCCTACCAAGTGTGACTAGTCCTATAGTAGACTCGTGACCAACGTGGGGGTTAGAAATACCAATCCCTGCACAGTGGAAAATCCACGTATAACTTTTGACTCCCCCCAAATTTAACTACTAATAGCTTATTGTTGACCGGAAGCCTTACTGATAACATAGTCCATTAACACACATTTTGTATGTCATATGTATTATATACTATGTTTTTACAATAAATCAAACTGGAGAAAAGAAAATGTTAAGAAAATCATAAGGTAAGGGTGCCTGGGTGGCTCAGTTGGTTAAGCGACTGCCTTCGGCTCAGGTCATGATCCTGGAGTCCCGGGATCGAGTCCCGCATCGGGCTCCCTGCTCAGCGGGGAGCCTGCTTCTCCCTCTGACCCTCCCCCCTCTCATGTGCTCTCTCATTCTCTCTCTCTCAAATAAATAAATAAAATCTTTAAAAAAAAAAGTGCAAAAAAAAAAGAGAAAATCATAAGGTAGGGAAAATACAGTTACAGTACTGAACTGTAATTATCGAAAAAAATCCAACATATACGTGGACCCATGTAGTTGAAACCCATGTTGTTCAAGAGTCAACTGTACTTTTCTCTGAAATATTAACATGGTTGAGTATGGGGCCCTGCCCCAGAGCCTGCTGTGTATGCAATAAGTGATCACATTCTACCTTCCGGGACCTGGGGGGGAAACATGAATCCTGAATCCAGCTCGTCCTAAAGGTTTTCAGCAAGGGACTGAGGACCTACATTCCATTTGGTTATGATTGCAGGTGCCATTACTTTGAAGCCAGCAACCTTCTTTTACTACCAGGTTCCCACATAAAATGGGGCTCCTCCAATATTTTAGTGTTTGCAAACAGTATGAGGCTCACATTTGCTCCAGCAAAGAAGCGAATACATTGTACTAACAGTTTTCTCTTTTAAGGATTGTGTACAAAGCAGAAATGTCTGGGTTACAAACATTATGAATACAAATGTAACTATTCTTAAAGTGGCACACCCTATTCTCTCTCCATTGTTATCACACCCAGTTTAAATAATGAATTTAATTCAGGAAATCATTTTTTGGGACTCTGCCATGTGCCAGGCAATAAGGTGGGTACACTGGTGACTAGAACAGGTATCTTCTCCTATAAGAAAACAACAATTTGACAGGATGCCTGGGTGGCTCAGTTGGGTAAGTGTCTGCCTTTGGCTCAGGTCATGATCCAAGGGTCTTGGGGTCGAGTCCCACATCCGGTTCCTTGCTCAGCAGGGAGCCTGCTTCTCCCTCTGCCTCTGCTGCTTCCCCTGCTTGTATTCTATCTCTCTCTGTCAAATAAATAAATAAAATCTTAAAAACAAAAAACAAAACAAAACAAAAAAAGGATTAAAAAAAGAAAACAATTTGAAAGTGGATATACAAGAGGTACCGATTGACTCATTCATTTATTCCACAAATAAATTTATTGAGCACCTACTACAAACTAAACACTATACTAAGGGCTGGGATTTTAGCAGTAAAAAAACAATCCCTATCATCTTAAAGTTTACATGCTAGTGGAGAGAGATATATAACAAGCAACATAAATAAGTAAAATAAATTAATATAAAACAGAAGAAAATACAGAATGACAGAATAGGAGATGCAATTTTAAATAAGGTGACTGTAGAAGGCCTCATTTACAATGTATCATTTGAGAAATGAGAGTGTGTCAAGTAAATATTGCAGGGTGGGAGGTGTTCCAAGTGGAGGGAACAGCAAATGCAAAGGTCCTGAGGTAGGAGGGTACCTGGCCAACCTGGAGGAATAATAATGAAGCCAGTATGTCTGGAGTAAACAAGGAGAAAGGGTAGTAGAAGTCTAGGGAGGTGGGAAGAGAGATCATGTTGGATAGTGTAGGCCACTGTAAGGACTTTGGATTTTAGTCTGAACGAAATGAAGAGTCTCTGAAGGATTTTGAGCAGTTGAGAGACTAACCAATATTTTTAAAGGTTGGTTCTGCTATGAAAGTGTTAAGTATGGAAGACCATCTAGTAAAGGGATTCACTTAGGCTAAAAGGGCAGTGAAGGCCTCCTGAGCAAATAACATTTGAGCCTGAAGAATTTGTTTACTGTGGGGAGTTAGTGCTAGGGAAAAGGGAGGAGCTCTCTCCCAACACGAGGACCAGCTGATGGGAGAAAACAGCCAGTTGGAAGCTTTTAATGCCACAGTGAGCATCTTCTACTTTCTCTTAAGTCTAATTATTGGAAGACTTTAAGCAAGGGAGTGACACAATCGGTTCAATGTTTTTTTTGTTTTTGTTTTTTTAATTTATTTGACAGAGAGAGATAGCACAAGCAGGGGGAGCGGCAGGCAGAGGGAGAGGGAGAAGCAGACTCCCTGCTGAGCAGGGAGCCCGATGTGGGACTCCATCCCAAGACCCCGGGATCATGACCTGAGCCAAAGGCAGATGCTTAACAGACTAAGCCACCCAGGTGTCCCCGTTCAATGTTTTATAACAACTGTCAGATTGTTATTCATAAAATGGAATCAGTAGTGGTTTTTTAAACCACAGGTCATGACTCCAATTCAGGAGATCACCAGATTGCAATTTTTTAAAAATGAAATAGAATAGAAAACATCAGAATGCCCTTCAGGTTTTAAGGGTAAGGATAGTGGCAGGGAACTTTTGATTCTGTATATACATATATTCGTGTGTGTGTGTGTGTGTTTGTCATTGTCCAAAGTTTGAAAGTCACTTGATTAGCAGGAAAGACATAAAAAGAGGGACAGCAGTAGAGGGAATATGCTGGAATCTTTTTAAAGGTATCTCTGGTCACTGAGACGAGAGAGAGAGAAACGAAGAGCCCTGCGAAAGCTCTCGTGGACCTACCTAATGGGTTCTAGGGGTAAATGAATGGTCCAGGGCAGTTCAGCAACAGGATGGATGGCTGAAATTGAGATTATGGGTAGAGAAGATAATGAGCTTAGATTTCAACATACTACCTGCAAGCCATCACAGTGGAGATACTTAGTTTAGAGCACATGATAAGACCAGATACTGAGATCTGGAAATGGTCAGCACCGATAGATTTAAAAAAAATTGTTGAAGATTTCATGACAAGTAATCCCATCATACCTCATAGTGATGCCATGTAATATTTGGGGGCAAAATACACTACATCTTTTGGGACACAACATTTACCAAAAAAAAAATTATTTTGCTTCTCTGGAAATTACATTTAACAGGGCCTTCTGTATTTTATCTGTGATTCTAATCAGTGTTCAAGTTCCCTGAGAACAGAAGCAGATATACCAGTCAGGACACAAGGACAACAACACAGGCAAAGAGGTAAGGAGCCCTAAAGTTAGTGTTTCACGAGGGATTCTTTGCTTGACTAATATAAATGCAAATTTGTAATGTAAAACTGAATCATTAACTTTGATTAATTACAAGCACAACGATGTCCTGCAGAAATCCTCCTTCCTTGGGCTCAGGATATGCATGGCTCAGATTCCTGGTGTGCCCCACTATCTACTGTGGATCAGCTACGGGATCCAGGATCTCACAGAGCACATACGCCTAAAGAGGAAGCTAAGAGCTAGCACCTAGTTGGTCTGTCCCAAAGGGACTTACCTTTAGGGATGAACCATTGGGAGGAAAGTTCTGTCTGCATTTTCACTTGCATAGAACTTGTTTATAGGGTTGAACTTGACACAAAACCAAAAACTGAAAGGCTGCTATTGTGGATATAGCTTTTCCTTCAGGAAAGAAATTTTTTTTTTTAACAACACACATTTTCAATATATTGAAATGACTTGAGTGATATGGCTTTGAAAAGAGCCAATGAAAAATGACATAAATATAAATCTAACACATCAAACTATTTCAAAATACATAATATTTTCTTCTTTCAGGGAAGCTGTGCTCCTACCATCCTGAGCTTTCACACACTATACACTATAAACTGAATTCCTTGGCCTTGATCTATCAGCAAACACTGACGATCTCATTGTCCCTGAGCTCTGACTCCAGAGGGCTCCACGGAAAAGAAGGAGCAAGAAATTATATACACACATACATGTTCTCAAAGCACATCAGCAGATCCCACACTGACAGCTGCTTGGTTTCTTGCAGGCCTGGGTTCCATGACCATATATATCTATAATTGCAAAGGCATTCTTAAAAACCTGTAAGGAGATGTAT